TTCTTTTCTCCTCTATCCCATAGACACCCGTAGAATTGAATGGTCAACTTGCAGATTGCAATTGCTTTTTCAGCAAGTTCCACTGATGGAACAAAAATGCAGTACCCTTCTGTGATGCTGAAGAGTGCATTACAGCACAGTTTCAACCAACAAGTGAGTGTAATGCTTATCATTCATGCTTGGGAGGAAAGGTGTGAATATTCTGTGGATTCCAATGTGTGCAACTCCTACTTAAAGAAGAAAAGGATACTAAGGGCCTGATCTCCTTTTGAAAAGTGTAACATTAACTCTGTTCATCAGTTGAAACTCCTAAGTGTGGTTGTGGCAGGGGAGGTTTGTTTGGTTCTCTCTTAGACTTCGCACTTCTCAACCAAATGTAACTCACGTTTCACTATTAAATAAAGTTTGAGGGGTTTTTAAGTTTATTTTTTGTAAAGAAACATGATGCGGCAGCCTTATTTAAGCCTTAACTTCAGCCTTAGTTATGATTTTTGTTAGAGATACCTAATATACTTGGATACACACCACACTCCTTTCGTGTTTATCTGTCCATATCCACATCTTTGAAATGGAATAAGGTTTAAAAGATCGACAGACTGCAGAGGGACAGCAAGTTGTGTGGGGATCATGACTTACCTTTTCCATCTATTCATCAACTTTGGCTTTGAAAGGAACAAACTCACCATTTAGGTAGAATCTACTTGTTTGCCTGTCAGTGCTTCTGGAAAAAGAATGCTAAATGAAACCAACTCACCTGCCTCAGGTTAGCTGATTAGTTTTATAAAAGGAATAGGATATAAGGGCCTGCAAGTATAGGTAGTAACTTACATTTTATTGTCTTTTGATGTCCTTTGCTGTGTATTGAGTCCTAGAAGTGACTTCTTTTGACATTAGGCTGTTGACAAATCTGCAGTAATTAGAAAAGTAAAAAACATGGCAACTTGCGTTTATCTTGGGAATTACTGTATATGGAGTATGGGGATTTGATGGTTTGACTCCTGTTTCATAGGCATTCACTGTTTTTAGACAAGTGATACACTTTCAGGCCACCAAAAGGTTTTATTTCTATTTATTGTTGCTGTTTTAGTCGGGTACTTGTAATGTGCTAACACTGTCCGCACACACAGAGAGTCTGCCCGTAAACGTTTACAATCTAAGGAGAGGTCTCAGAGTAGCCGCCGTGTTAGTCTGGATTCGCAGAAAGAAAAGGAGTACTAGTCTCTAAGGTGCCACTAGTACTCCTTTTCAATCTAAGGAGATTTCAGCAGACTCCCTGTGGACCCAGGAAGGAGTCTTTAGTCTTTCTGACGAGTCCTAATACCAACTGGCTAATTGCTCTTCCTTTTCCCTTGCAGAAGGAGAGGGTCCTATTGCTTTAAACAGAACACTACACCATCTTAGGACTGGATTTTTAAAGATATTTAGGTGACTAAAGATGCAGTTAGGCAACTGGTAAAATTTTCTGAAGCACCTAGCTGCCTATTTCCTGTTGATTTCAATGACCGTGTGCCTAAGCAGACCTACTTGCTTTCTCTTCAGAGACCAGTAACACTGTAATTGCCCACAGTTAAGCTACCACACAGTTCTTTCCATGCAAGCTCATTTTCTTCGGGTAAAAGCATTACTGATAAAAACAATAAAAGAACCTACGTGTGTGCTAATAAGCTTACCAAAGATCACCCCAACTCTAACTTGGGCTCTGGCAGGAGCAGTCCAGTCCTTCAGAACCCCACAAAGCGGTCTCTTCTGTGGTCACAAGTTCGTAACAGCCTCAGCTCAGAAATAGCACACCCATGAAAAGCTTTGTCCATCCTTTACACACTTTGGGGATCTTTGATATGGAGTTTCCAGGAGCAGGTAATTAGTAAACAATTGGTTTCTCTCCCCAGAGTGTAGTGTCAAAAGGCTGGCTTTGCAGGGTATAATTTGCATTTTTGTCCTCCCAAGAACTTTCTAGAAAATCCATGTCACTCGTACTGTCCCAAAATGTCCTTTGAAGTTCCTAATGCTTTCTAGAGATTGCATTACTCAGTCTTCTAGAGAAGTTACATACAATTCCACAATAACACATGCACGAGTGCATTTTTAATACAATGGATCCAAATTAATTCAGTAACGTTTACCCTAATTTCATAAGTTTTGTCCAGGATATTGTCATTCTGTTGCAACTTCCTCCTAAAAGAGGGGTGCTAATGAGCACCCTAGAGAAACCCCTTGACTTATCACCTGGACAGGTTTATTCCCTGGTTGGTGGTTCTGTCCTCTACCTTTCATAATTTCACCTGTTCAAATAACAAACAAGCCAGCATACATCCTTTAGACCTATGGGGTTGAGCTTTCACACACCCCTTGTTACCCCCAAACATTTGGGTGTAAACTTGAGACCCGATCCTCCCACTCCTACCTCCCATTTGGGAAGTGCGTGTGATGTATTTTTCCCTCAGCGATCAGTTCCAAGATGAGACCCACACCCTGGGAGGAGGGAAACCACCTCCAAGAAGCTCTGAGAGAGGTGGAGAGAAGGAGTTTGCTATTTGTGCCCAAGAATGCCCATGACACCGAGTCCCAGTGCAGTGCTGACAAAAGTGTTGTGTGTATTTCTCTTTGTAGATAAGGAGGGCTCACAGGCTGTCATCCCTCCACCTTTTGTCATAACTCAAATGTACTTTAAAAGAAAACAGAGAGATCGGAAAACCAGAGAGAATTTCTGGGGGACAGGAAGTTCTCTATGCACAACAGATGTGAACATCTAACTAAGATGGAGACTGTTTTGTGCTCATGGTTATGTGTTGAGAATACAAGTCTTTGAATAACTTGGCTGGCCACCAGATGTCACTGCCGCTTTACATGCGTTCAGTATTTAGTTTCCTATCCTTGCTTGTTCTGATCAAAGCTATTGAAGACTTTCTAGTTTGCAGCTAATCTCGCTAACTGTAAATGATTCTTCCTTTCATTGGCTGCAGCTTTATTTCTTTTACTGTGATCCACATTATGTATGGTCTAAACTGAAAATTTTTAAATTAGAGAAAATCTTGCTTTAATTAATAGCCAAAACCATAGCACAATGTTTCCATGAATCCCTGATTCATCTTTTTTTTTTTTAAACACTGAAAAGTAAAGATCTGAGTTAAGAAACTTGTGCATCAAGTTGTTCGACCTCTTTCAGTTATAAGACCACTTTAAAACTCTCAACTTTTGCCAGCACCTAAAATTGTAGATTATAATAGAAAAAGTAACAAGCCCATGTTGATGCAGTAGTGACATTAGGATACAGAATATCGGGATGGGCACAGAGATGACTAGTTTATATTGGATGTACTGGATTCAACTGAAATGAATACTAGCCTTGGATTTGCTTTCTTTTCTTCCTCCCTTTCCCTGCACCATCTCACCAGGCATCTATATGAGATGCCTGACTTTGGTAGGCCTCAGAGCCTTGCTTGTGGGCCCGCCTTTAATGAACAAGACACACACACACCCCCAAAGTCCATTGGGTAACTCGCAGAATAATTTATGGATGAGCAGACTTTAACTGCAGTCAACATTATTTAAACAAGTGTGACGTTTTCAGGCATACAATATTTTCTGATATTTATGATGAGGCTATATCCAATTGCAAACTTGCTATGTGGTGTATAAAATGGAAAAGCTCAAAACCTTCAATTAGAAATATAAAGATCTTCTGAAAAATAAATATTCAACAGTCATCCTGGGAAATTTCATCTTCTACGGAAAGAACCACTTCTGCTGCCCACAAACTGCTTATAATTCCCCTGGAACTCCTTGATGGAATTATACCCTTGTATTACATGATAGGTTTCACTATATAGAATAGCAGAAAAGCAATCAAGGGACTGTTGCCCAGAAAAGGCAAATTTTAACATCAGTTACACTTGCTGCCCCTCCATCCCTGGTTAAATTTCTTCCACCATATTTCTGTTTAAATTTCACAAGGGCTCCTGCGTGAATGTGCTTCATTTGCCTGACCTTGGTGTTCTTTGGCTAATGAATCAGGTTTGAGCCCCTGATCCAATCCCCAGTGAGGTCAGTGGGAAGTCTCCTGTTGACTTCAATGGACTTCGGATCAAGCCTTAAATGTGCATATCATGGCTCTTGTATGCAACAGTGAAACTCCTAAAAATAATACAGCTGTCCTCTCCATCACAAACTACCTACCCCCACCCCCACAGGCAAATGGAAAGAGGGGGAGCTAAATTGTCATGATTTAAGCTGCCTGCTGCAAACTGGGTGATTTAAAAGTTCTGAAAATAGCCACAGTGATAGACATGCTCACAGAGAGAATTCAACATGCAAAAATTACGTGCCTCAGGCACACTTCAGATCAAATATAGAGGAGATGAGTAAAAATGACTGGGCTGCTCTTGGGTGCCTTGGCAGAACATAGGGCGGAATTTTATTTTCACTTGTAAAAAGACTAAAAGGTGCCCATTCCAGGCCATAGGCATGTTCAACACTTCTTTACAAACTCACCTCCTACTGCACAGCCAAATCCAGCAACCATCCCCCACCACAGACCAGAAAGAATCAGGCACTCCATTATCACAAAAGGATTACTCAAATACCAAGCCCTCCGCAAATATCAACCCTCAGACGAAAGCCCCAATAAAACGCTCCTGCAGTGAGCCAATGGATAGCAGCACCAATGTTTGCTAAGATAGCCCATATAAGATAGCCAGTATAGTTGGAAATAACGGAAGAGCCGTGGTTCCCTAGAATAAGGTTCCCTTCATCAGAAGAAAATGATTTACTCACTGATTTAATTTATTTAAAAACCAGTTGCTTCCAAAATGTTAGCAAGAATGATGCTATAAATACAAATAGGTTTAATATTTACCAACAAGTATGCTAAAAACTTTTCATTGGGTAAGACGCAAGGTATTTACAAAGGAGACCACATATTCTTAAATTTATAAAGACTGTCTTTAATCTTCCTTTCCAAGATCTTGCTTTGGTATTTGTTGGTTTTCACGCTACTGCAAATACTTAGTTGTTTTGTGGAATTTTTTAGTTCTTAAGAGCTGCTGAGTGTGGGGAAATCCCTTGACTATTGAGGCACTGATGGTGCTTTTTGTCCATAAGGCTTGCTGATGGAGCCGTGTTTGTCAGGTGCTCTCTTGTTTTGTTGGTGTTTGAAGTGGTGTTACAGAGCCTAAAAGAGAACCAGGGGAAAAACTTCTGTAAGCTTGGGGGGTTGTACATTCTAGCCAACAAAGGAAACCAAAATGCATGATGAGCCCTGAGCCGTCCTGTTAACAAGCAGTACCCACGTGCTTTAGAACCCTCCTCGGACAGTTCAGTTCCTTACTCTAACCAATTTCATGCATATATATTTTCCCATTCTACTGACACAGTTGAGGCACATCAGCTCTTGTTAGATTGACTGCCAGAAATTGGGACTGGACAACATGGGATGGATCACTCGCTAATTGCCCTGTTCTGTTCATTTCCTCTGAAGTATCTGGCATTGACTGCTATTAGAAGACAGGATACTGGGCTAGATGGACCATTGGTCTGGCCAGTATGGCCATTCTTATGTTCAAATCGTGGTGTTACAAGTCATGGGTAATGACTAGTGATTGGGCCTTTCAAGTGAAAAGCAATTTAAAATTCTTGAAATAATTACTATATATGCATTGTAATTGTACTTGGCATTCCCAAGTGCCTCACATCTTCAATGCACTTAACAAATACGCATGAACTGAACTTCACGACAGCTCTCTTGGTTAGCTAAGTAGAATTAGCCCCAATGTACAGAAGGGAAGGCTGAGCACAAGGAAGACTCCCCAGCATCACAAAGAAAGCCAGTCAGGAGTGTCTGGCTCCTATTTCCGTACTCAATCCTATACATCGTACTGCCTGCCTAATTCATACATTTCTTCAGATTTTCCACTATCCCTTGATGGAGTCCTCTCTTGTTGCTTTAGTCCTTGCTGATGATTTCTGTTTGTTCCACACTACACTGATCGAGGCACTCCAGACGGTGAATGGAAGAAAGTCGAAGGAGAGGGGAAGAAAAGAGAAGAGAAGCAAGAGGAAGGACAGTGAGTAAATGAAAGAGTACCACTTGGACAGGAAGGAATTCTCCCTTTCAGGTTTCATCTACACTAGAGTTAGGTTAACTCTTCTCTCATCGTTAGCCAACATGTTTGTACATGCTCGCCTTGATACTTGTGGCTTACCCTGGGCTCGGCCATAAGATAAACCAATCTAGCATGTACAAACATAGTAGTTGCCAATTGACTAGAGTTAATCAGTTGACTCAGGTTAAACTCAAGTGTAAACAAATACTCAGCCATTGGATTAGCAGGGGGGTGACTTCACCATCACCACTGCTCCCTTGCAGAGCAGTAGTCCTTGTGGCTGCTGTTTTCCCTCGCCACAGTTCTTTGGTTTCTGGGTCAATGGCTAAAAGATCTGGGTTGGTTCTACCTCCCATTATCTCATCCCATGAGTCATCCCCTTCCCTGCACACTGCTGGTCGTTCAAATCCACTGCCTTCTTTGTACATCTGTACTTGGAGGGATAACCCAGCAGTTGCCTGGCTTGCTATTTGCTTCATTTGCTCCCAGTTATGCCTAGCAGCCTTCAGCAACAGTACCTCTTCTTTGTCCTATTTGCTGCCTCTGAGTCACCCCGTAGGCTCATTTGCGATGGCTGTGACTGGATCTGACTCAGCTTCTCTTGCATATTATTTATGCCTCCATGGAGGCCCCATGCATCATACAGCTTGGTCAACTTGGTGTTTTCGGGTACTGGAACTGAATCAGGGTTTTCTGAGCTACAGTACAATTTCTACAAATAAATAAAAAAATAAAAATTCACATAACACACGAAGGTGGCATGAAACAAGATGTAAGCGTATGACCAGGTGCTCATGTATTGAGTCCTCATGCTGGGAAATGAGCTCTTGGGTAACTATCGTCCTATTTGGCTACACCAATGTTTCTAGATGAGAAACTTGCTAATAAATGCAGGTGGTTGTGTTTTTCTATGGTTTAGTTTAACTTCTTTCTCTCATGGAACTGCCTTCAGAGATCCCCACTGTGGGAGTTATGCTCCCTGCTATATAGATCCAAGCATCTATGGAGGCACCGCGGGGGGTGGATTTAGGTTAATAAAAGAAAAAAGCTGGAGCCCACTTGTAAGCAGGGACTCTGCTTTCTTCCATTCCTGAGTCTTAATCTTCCACCAAAGCAGCCCAGCCCTACCCACCCCTGCAGCTAGCTGACTTAGAAGCTAAGTTATTTCTCTGACTCACTACTGTCTCTCTGAACCCCAGCCAACCAAGAGGTCAAAATACCACAGATCGTGTTTTAAAACCAGAAATATATTCTGAGAACTCCACTTATGGGAGAAAGACACACACGCCTACACACCAACTGCTGAGCTACTCACTGCATCCTCTGGGCCAAACTCATCCTAGGTTCAAACAGATGCACCTATATGTGCATCAGTGCACTTTTTTCACCCAAACCTATGCAGAGAAATCAGTATTTTAATTGTTTGACCACCATAGGGTTTCACTGAGCATTCATGATGTCGTCTGTAGGCAGAGAAGCTTTGCTGATAGGCTAGCCTGGAGTATCTAAACTCATGTCCCTATCTTAACCCTTATAGAAAAATCTTTTAGAAGTAAACAGAGATCAAGCTGGTAGAATTCTACAGAAATGCAATAGGGCTCTGTAGAAATTACAATTTTTGTGTGTGTTTTGGGTTTTTTTAAGGAAAAAAAAAAACCAACCCTAGCAAACGACAAGCCTTTAAGCCATCATATAGAATTACAGAGCAGGAGCATAACTGCAACATTGCAAATGTTCATGCTCTTTGGCCTCTTTCTTAAAGTCCCAGCTCCTGGAGCCAAGTGATAATATGAAATTTTTGGCTTACTTTTTTTAAGCAATGAAAGTTTTTAGCCCTCATGCTTGCTGCTTAGGCTCAGTCTCCAGTGTGAAAGTCCTTCCACGTTCCATGAGAAAACAAAAACTAATAAGGCACTCGCACTTGGATCCTGCAGTGGGATCAACGTGAACAGACCCTGTGTGCAGCAGGGACACCAACAGCATCCCCAGAGCCCAAGCAGCCTCTGCAGCCAAGGGTTTGGTACGAAAAGAACTCAGAGTGGCTTGGTTAAAATGGCGGTTTACATTTGGTTAATAGCGTCTGAGATGGTTTTAATTTAAAATTCTGTTAATTCTCCTGTCAGAAACGGAGCAGATACATTTTTAAGGAAGTCTGAAACTGCAGCCAATGATGGCCCCTACTACGTCAGGGGAGGGGAATTTTGTTGTTTGACCTTCAGACCACTGGCTGGTTGGCCGTTCTGCTCATCTCCCTGATGTAGTAAACTTCATAAAGATATCAAATTAACCTGTGGGCAATCTCAAGCACTTGCTAATTACAACATTGGTTCCGTATATTTATACTTGCTCGTCCAAATAATCAGCAGTTTCCAAATACTCTATTTATGTTTTGTAGAGTGCATGATAACTTTCCGATCCACAGCCTGTTGTTTATGATTTAGCAGGGCTTTGAAACCCACTGTTCCCTCCACACAAAAGACAAAGATGTTTATTTTCTCTCACTGGCTTGCACAACAATAGGCATTTGTCAACCGTTATATAATGTCTGATTTGTCATTTCTTCTATCAGTCCTTAGAGACAGTTTAATCTTAATATTATACAATATGTGGCAGATTTTTAGTCTTACATAGATTCATATTTCATACTCCTCACTGTTGTAACTAAGGGCCTTCCAACAGTGTATTAAGCAACATGAGTAATATCTGTAACACGGTTTTGTTCTCTCATTGTCTCCCCAGGAGGAGTGTGGGCAGTGGAGCGACTTGTTTTGGTAGGGTTTTTGCATAAAGGATGAGTAGTAACAAGAGGTGCTGAACTGCAGCCCTATAGATAGGATTCCTCACCCTTTCTCTATGGCTGGGGTAGAAATCTCCCTACGACACCTATCACAAACTCTGACATTGGTGAGAAAGAGCTAGAGCCTTAAGAAAATAAGAATTAACTTTCACAGCCACCCTCTCTCTGAAATCTGGCCATGAGAGGTCTTTAATATGAATTAAGTTTGAAAAATGTTGGGAGTTGTATACTGCTTATGCTGATTCACCTATTTTTCAAATCCCACTGGGGTCTCTCACGAAGCTAATAGGAACCATCTCTTCATCAAAGGGCAGCATCTGGCCTTCTCTCATTTTTGGTGGTAGAAATGAGGCAGCAGATATTTCTTGTCTGAGAAGTAACATGTGCTCTCTCCATCACATCTACAGCTCTGGATGATTTCCAGTCTTTATAACTCATGATAATCCATGTGACAATGTCACAAAGTAGTGAATTGTGTTGAAAAGTCCTGGAAACCATTTTATACTCCCAGGCTTCTAGACCCAGTGAGACGCTACTGCTTGGTATATTAAGATATATTGACCAGTAGCTGAATGATGGTCATTGAAAAGCATAGCAGGAACCGGAAGAATTCAGAGGAACTGATAGCCCTTGAGGAGACATAGGGAGAAATCCTGACTCTAATGAAATCAATGGGAATTATGTAAACTAAGATGCCTGCCTGGTGTGATTAAAAGATCCCCTTAAAGTGAGTAAGCAGGAAGAACCTGGTGTAGTAGCTTTTTAGTTTGCTATTGATTTATGGATCTTACCAGAAACTTAGCCATTTGGTTGCTCTTACTATATTTGTACAGTTTGCGCAGGTGTTTTGCATCAAGTTCTGAGAAAAGAGAGACAAATCTCCACAGCATCCTAGAGGAAGGAATGATTGAGTGAAGGAGTCTGCTTGAATGCAAATTCTTCCCTACCTGCTTTTTGCATCTTTTAGTGGTAATGCATTTCTGTCTCTCTCCTGTAACCAGTGACAGCCATTTGTATGGGCTTCTTTTATTTTTAAAAAAAGAAAAGATTATAAACTGCACAGATCATAGAATCATAGAATATCAGGGTTGGAAGGGACCCCAGAAGGTCATCTAGTCCAACCCCCTGCTCGAAGCAGGACCAATTCCCAGTTAAATCATCCCAGCCAGGGCTTTGTCAAGCCTGACCTTAAGAAATGGACCCTCCCCTTGGAATGTGAAGTTATTGTGGGGTTCAGGATCCCAGGCAGAAGGCTATATAATCTTCAGCCATACCGTTAGCATTTCTCATGAGACCCTTCCTGGTTTCAGAAAAGGAAACCTCTGCATGTGGTCTACAACCCTTAGAAAAGGGATGGTATTTTCACCATAAGCTCATTCAGTTACTGTAAACTGGGTTGCTTCTGATAATACAAGACGCTATTTGGCCATAGGTTAAATTCACCCGTGGTGTAACTCCACTGAGTTAAGTTGTATACTGTTGGAATTACACCCAGATGGCCCCCATGTGTCTTAGGAACCTGCTAACAGGAAAACAACCGCATTGCTATCATTGATGAAACTGGACATATTGATTGGGTAGAATTTATCATCCAAATAACCCTTTGATTAAGTTGTGGGCACTATGGTAGACTTGTCCCATTGGAAATACCATAATAATACTTCGCTGCTTCTATAGTGATTTGCAGGCACTTAACTCATTAACCCTCACACACTCAGGATGCGTCTTCGCTGCAGAGTTAACAAGTTATTTACACCTCAGTTACTCCTCTCGAGTTAGCCTAGGTTGAGTGAAAGTGCCCACACTATGAAATAACACTATCTGCTTTCGCCAGGCTGGTGCTGCGCTCACTTGTGTGTGGCAATAAGATTTGTAAGTTCTTTCCTGCGCAATAAGATAAGCGGCTCTCAACATTCTTTCCCAGTGAATTGTGGGAGAACGTGTCTGTTCTTTGGCGCTAATGAGGGGACTTTTGTGGGAAGGCATTGGAGGGCTGTCGGCACCCAAGTGGAGCTAGCCGGCATCTACACTACAGAGCAGACGTATTATAGCAGCAGCTGAGTTGAACAAACGTGAAGCTTAACTTTTATCCCCTGACTGGCCAGCCAACCCAGGTTAAAAGCTCCACCACGCTTGAGTGAAGGATTTTTGCACTTGGATGAAACTCAAATTAGGGGTAACACTTGAGTTAACTGGGCAGTGAAGACAAGCACACAGATACATCCATGAGGTAGGTTAGGGTCCATTTGTTTTCAAGTGTCCACTAATTTTGGATGCCCAACTTGGGATGTCAGTGCCCTGATTTTCAGAGGTACTAAGTACCTACAGCTCCCAGTGGGGGAAAATTATGGGTGCTCAGAAAAGCAGACTCCATGAGTCTCAAGTGGGCACCCACATTACGGGTGACTTCTGGAAATGTGTTTCTAAGTGACTACCCAAATGCACACAGCAAATCTGTGGCAGAGCCAGGACCAGACGCAGTCCTGTGCTTAATCCACTAGCCCAACCTTCCTTATAAATGACTGCAACTAGGACTGTATTTGCAAAAAGAAAAGGAGTACTGTGGCACCTTAGAGACTAACAAATTTATTAGAGCATAAGCTTTCGTGAGCTACAGCTCATTGCTAGTGTGAAAGGATTATCTTACTTCTTCCAGTGTTTGAGTTCCCAGGATTTGCAGTAATGCTGAAGAAACATATTGATGTGATCCCCAAGTGTAGTCAAGTTTTTCTTCGTGTACTTCAGTTTTTTGTCCTTGGGAAGATCTTTGGGCAAATCCAGTTTCCGAAGAGATTTTTTAAAGGGTCTCAGAAACTCCTTGCACTGTAAAGACAAAGAGCTCAGTCAGAATGTTATTGACAGAATACTGGGTTATTGCTCTAAAAGTACGTAATAGGCAACAGCCAGTTACATTCTTCTTCTTAATATAAACATGTTATGCTGAAAAGATGTCTAACGTGCATTGTATTTAACAAGAGTAATTTATATGAACATAGCTATAAATCCATTTGTTTAGTTAATCTAGCGTCTTCTTCAGAGACCATTGTAGGTGCGCTGTTTGGTTGAGCCCTGAAGACTCAATTGGTGTATTCTCAGCATGGCAGCCCAAAGGACAGTTGTCAAAAGTGTGCCTTCTAAGAGTTGTGAGGGGAGGGATTTGAGGACCTGCTAAGGATGGGGGATAATTCTCTTTTGACATAAGGTACAAATGTCAATTTCAATCTACAGAATTTACAAGATACCTCATTCTGCAACAAGGGGAGAAGGAAAAGCATTTGATATCATTCCCCATATCCTTGGGCCCTCTGCTATGTTGTAAATTCTCTATAGTTTATGCATTAGTTTGCAGAAGGTCTCATGAAGTGTGTGTGTGTGTATGAGAGTGAGCACACAGGCATCATTCTCTGAAATATACTCTCTTCTCTTAGCTCTTATCTGTAGACACCATTTCTTTCCACACCCCTATCTTTCCTCCTAAGGAGGGGGGAAAGCTGCATTGCTGTTACACTAGTCCTCAGCTGTAAAACTGTACTGTGTTTCCCTCCTCCTCCCCAACAGGTAGAAAAAACGCAGCAATACAGAAAAATACAGCAAAGAACCATAATGGGAAAGAACCATTATTTGTTGTGTACGTACAGCATGTACCATAATGGGATCCTAGTCCATAACTTGGACTGTTAGGTGCGACTACAGTGACAAATACTAACACAGATGGAAGCACAGGTTACCCACTGACAAATAAAATAGTCAGGTGAAACTCAGCAGTTCAGTCACACAAAGGCCTGCTGAAGTTAGCCAAGTAATATCGCTGGCACATGCGTTTACATTTCATACATCCGGGTTTTCTGTATTGATGTTTCCAACAGGTAAATCAGATTAATTCAAAGTGTATTTTTTGAAGTTCTCGGAGCTAGAACTTCTTGCTAGAGAAAAATGCATCCTGTGTTGTGCAAATAGAAGCTGTTTAGTTCTTCCTGTACAATGGTTGGTAATAATCCTCTGAGTTCTCATAAATGTCTGTCAAAATGGATTAGGAGTCAGTTTTGAAACTAACACTCACATAAGTGGGCTAATTGAGGCAGAAAATCATCAGAAGTATCCAATAACTTTGAGTGCCCCCCCCTTTTTTTTTTTAGAATGCCCAACTTGAGACCCATTGGCCTGGCTTTCGTTGGTATGGTGCATGCATGGCTCCAGTTGAAATGAAATGGGAGTTTGAGGGGCTCAGCCCCTTGACGGGGGGGGAAATCAGACCTAGATTTCTGAAGTTGAGTATTGAAAAAAGTGAGTCAAGCAAAACTAATGGACGCTTTTGAAAATGAGTCTAAGGACCTGGCCCAAAACCACACAGTGAGTCATTATCAGAAGCGAAAGAAAAGGAAAGGTCTGTTATTTACTAAAAGATCATAAGTTATGGAAGACTTGGAAAAAGTTAATGAGACGAGATAATCCTCAGCGCAAAGAATTTGTAGAGAATGAGGTGTTTCATCATGGTTTTTCATTTCCTCTCCCTCAATGTTTTGCAGCTTTTTTTTTTCCAAACTGTCTGAGAAAAGAGGGATAGCTCAGTGGTTTGAGCATTGGCCTGCTAAGCCCAGGGTTGTGAGTTCAATCCTTGAGGGGGCCATTTAGGGATCTGGGGCAAAAATTGAGGATTGGTCCTGCTTTGAGCAGGGGGTTGGACTAGATGGCCTCCTGAGGTCCCTTCCATCACTGATAATCTAAAAGAGATGGGTCATTCACACTTCTACTGCTAGCATCAATGTAATAGCTCACAATTTTGAAGGTGTCTTGATCAAGGCCATCAGTGTAGCGGATAAGCAAATGTCCAGATGGTATGATACTCGAACTGTTCTTCAAAGGGGTTGCCTCCTTCACCTTGCTGAGCAAATACTCATTCTCTGTTGTCTACAAATTGTGAAGTTAGTATATGTTAATTTTTTGATCTACACAAACTTGTGTCCCATTGGTCAATGTTGCACAGGACAAACATTATCCCAAGGCTGAGTTTGAACAAGGGACACTATTAGCACTGTCAAAGCATTTAAGATGTGATTTTCAAAGGTACCTAAAAGCGTTGTACCCAACTCCTACTGAAACTCAATGAGAGTTGGGTGCCTAACTTCCTGAAGTGTCTTTGAAAATCCCAGCCTTAGTACATTACAAAGGAAATGTTGTAAATATCGCTTGCTTCTAATGACACTAATCCACTAGGGGCTGGAATTTATTATTGACAACTGGAACAATAAATGTATTGTGCTAAGTTCTGCTCCAAGGTCAGACAAAATTTCCATTGACATCAATGAGATCAGCATTTGACTTGTTGTGTTTAACAGAAGGCAGTTTTACAAAAGCTCAGCCAATGAAATCAGATCTCCCTGGACTGGGTGTAAACTCCCTTTTCCATCACTGGGAAAATAGCTCTCTCTGCATTATCTGTGGAGGTGAATCATTTACGTGTGTCTTTGCTTGTGAAGGGCACAACTAAACAATGGAAAACATGTTTACATTATTCGAAAAAAATCAAATGGTTTGAAAAAAAAGTGTGTAGTGAGAGAAGTTCTCTTGTCGACAGCACACTCTGTTCTTGTGCAGCACTTCAAAAAAACTGTATCCCAGATTACACTACAGAGCAAAAAGGTATGCATTGGCCGCGCTGTTCATTTTACGTCTCCTTTCCACAACTGGCCTGTGCTTTATCCTCCCCTTCCCTCCTCCATATGGCCATATTGTCTGTACACCTCCCCTCTGCATACCTGGCTGGCTGTGCCATACCCAGCTGGGCACTTCCACTCTCCCATGCTTATTTTCTCTCTAGTCTGACCTTCTTCTGGGCCCACTTTCTCCACTTGGCACAGTCCATTTCCTCCCCTCTCTGAGACCTCCATTCTGGCAAGGGAGGGAAGGGAAAGTCGGTCGCCCTGGGGCTAGCAGTCCAGCTTGCTGGCATTTGAATCCAAACCTGCTTGTGTGACATCACCTCTGAGGCATGCTGGTTCTGAATTCTACATCTAAATGAAGCAGGGCTGAGGACCTGAGAAAGAGGAAAGCTGCAGCAGCTAATCTCCCCACACACAGTCCTAATGGACAAAGGCTTCATCCATCAGACTCTAGACCAGCAGCTTACCCCATGACATGAAGTCATGACCTACCTTTAAAAAGGGAATTCAGCTCCAGACAACCAGGCAGCAAATGTTGGATTTACAGCTAGTGCTGCTTGTTCAGATGTTCAGTATTCTGTCCTGTGGGGGCAGGTGGGACAACACTTTCTTCGGTACAGTTGTAGATGTGGGACCCTATTAGATCCTTCATTACTCCTGAATTCTCAGGAAGAGGCACTGTCCCTTCATGCTTTTCCACAGGCCAGCAGGCTGTAATCTCTCTCTCATGTAGCTCTCCCCACAATTATCTACGCCATCCTGGATTATTTTACCATGGGGGCTGTCCCTAAAGGTGACCTAGGCCCTTCAGCTGAAGGAATGCAGAATCCAAGCTTTTGTAGAATGGGGGAACTGCTATGACTATACCACCCTTACTCTATATGCTGCACTGGCTGGCTGTGGCTCTGGACCCTGTTCATGCCATTAGCTATAATGTTTAATGCCCTTAGTGCCAGCAAGTTCAGGGACTGCCTCTCCCATTGCAACTGCTGCGTTTTTTTTTTTTTTTTTTAATTTATTTATATTCTAGCATTATCTTGATGCGCCAACCAAGACTGGATGTCCCAGTGCTAAGCATGGTACAACTTGATAGGAAGGACTGGCTCCTGGCTGAAGAACTTGCAGTCTAGACAGGCCAAGAGTGGGAGAAAGGAAAGTTTATCATCTCCATTTTGCAGATGGGCATCAGAGGCTCAGAGAGAGAAAGACATTTGACCAAAATTGCACAAGAAATCTGTGAAAGAGTAAGGGTGAGGAATTGAACGGGCATATCCTGAATTCCAGTCAAAGTACCATCATCACAAACCAACCTTTTTCTCACACAGCTTCCAGGATACCCCTATGTTACGCAAAAATTTCCGCAACTCGAAAATCCTATTTCTGGCTTATGGAACTCTTTCTGTAAGTGTGAATTTGCGTGAGTTTGGTCTGGCATAACCCAGGGAGTGTCTGTATTTGGTTCAGCAAGGCCCTAATGCGGCAAACTTCAAGGCACGTGGCACTGCCAAGGTTGTTTGTTAGTTTAATTAAAGATTTGATTGATGTATTTCTTTGTCACCATCCAAGGGCAGGAGACCTTTTAGAAAATTATAGGGTCTTAATGAAGCCTTGTGGGATGACTGAACATCTTGACTGATTGAGGTGGGAAGAATTAGCAGAATACAAGGCACGGCATTGCTATGATGGTTCTAGGTGTGATATAAGTCTAAGACTAGGATCTTCAAAGGAGACTAAGGGAGTTAGGAACCATACTCCCATTGAAATTCAACAGCATTGGGTACCTCTTACACTTCTTTGAAAATCCCAGCCTAAATAAAATCAAATTTTGTGTTGCTTTCTGTTTCAAAGAGTAGAGACTTTCTTCTTTCAAAAGGATAACACATTGCACTTGCCGGGTGGTAACTGGAAAGGCTGGGGGAGAAAGGGGTTTTTTAGAAGTGACTCTGGGAATAAACTACTTTAAGTAACATTTACTAGGGAAAAATTATCAAACCCCCACCACACACTGAGTAGGCAGATAAATAAAATTGTTCTGTCCCTTTGTACAGTTAGGGTAATTATGCCAGCTGTGATTCAATTATGCCTGTGTGCCGGGGAGTCTTTATGTGTAACCTCAATGCTCTCATCTCATTTCAAATCTCTCCTGAAAAATCACTCTGATAAGTGAATCAATAATATTCTGTGGCCAAAATGTTGAAATACGGATGCCTACAATCAGCCATCTAAAACCATTTTTAAGTAGATGTAAAATTTGGTAGGGCAAATAGATTATATATCTAATTTTTCCCACAGCAGAGCGTAACACTCCCTGTCCCCTTAGTCAAACACACTGTATTGTGACAGTATACCCAAGGGAAATATCCTCCATTTTCTCTGGCAGCACTTCGTTTATAATAATTCTTAGTAATGATAGAGTGCTCTACACTTTCAAAATGCTGTGCAAACATTAACTAATTAATCTTTCCACCAGGGCAGCTCTTTTAGTGCAAGATTATGCAGATTTCCAATAAGCATAGATTTGTGAAGCAGTTTCTTTTTAAAAATATAAAAAGTAAATACAAAATATCAGGTTGTAGGGTTGCTATTACTTTATTTAGGTGTAAACATAGGTGCTGTCATAAACATACAGCTAAGGGTAGCCTAAAATCCCTCCTTTACCTGTAAGGGGTTAAAAAGAAAAGGAGTACTTGTGGCACCTTAGAGACTAACCAATTTATTTGAGCATGAGCTTTCGTGAGCTACAGCTCACTTCATCGGATGCATACCGTGGAAACTGCAGCAGACTTTATATATACACAGAGAATATGAAACAATACCTCCTCCCACCCCACTGTCCTGCTGGTAATAGCTTATCTAAAGTGATCATCAGGTTGGGCCATTTCCAGCACAAATCCAGGTTTTCTCACCCTCCACCCCCACCCCACACAAACTCACTCTCCTGCTGGCAATAGCCCATCCAAAGTGACAACTCTTTACACAATGTGCATGATAATCAAGTTGGGCCATTTCCTGCACAAATCCAGGTTCTCTCACCCCCTCACCCCCCTCCCAAAAACCACACACACAAACTCACTCTCCTGCTGGTAATAGCTTATCCAAAGTGACCACTCTCCCTACAATGTGCATGATAATCAAGGTGGGCCATTGGACAGTGGGGTGAGAGGAGGTATTGTTTCATATTCTCTGTGTATATATAAAGTCTGCTGCAGTTTCCACGGTATGCATCCGATGAAGTGAGCTGTAGCTCACGAAAGCTCATGCTCAAATAAATTGGTTAGTCTCTAAGGTGCCACAAGTACTCCTTTTCTTTTTGCGAATACAGACTAACACGGCTGTTACTCTGAAACCTGTAAGGGGTTAAGAAGCTCAAATAACCTGGTTGGCATCTGACCAAAAGAACTAATAAGGGAAGAAGATCCTTTCAAATCTGTGGGGGTAGGTTTTGTTTGTTCTGTCTCGGGACACAGAGGGACCAGGCAGGAAAAAACCCTCTCCTAAAACCCTACCTGAAATAAGCATCTACGTTTACAAAAATTGTAAGTAAAGCCAGGAAATTCGATTATCTTTTGTTTTAGCTTGTGAATTTTCCCTATGCTAAGAGGGAAGTTTATTCCTGTTTTTTGTAACTTTGAAGTTTTGCCTAGAGGGGAATCCTCTGTGTTTCGAATCAATAATATTCTGTGGCCAAAATGTTGAAATATGGATGCCTACAATCAGCCATCTAACACCATATTTCTGCTCTCAACTACTGTAAATATGGGTTTTAATCTATTTATCACTAAACAAAAATTAGCTAGTGTGCATGTATTTGTAATAATTTTTATATCTGCTCTTTCCCCAGCTTTCTTTTGTCAATAGTCATTTAGTATTCAGGTTGCAAAACATTTATAATCCAAATTAGTACTTAATTCTGATTAACAACTTTATAACCCTGAATAAAAAAAAATATTTATTTATTTCAGGATTTAATGAAAAGATATTTGTCTCACATTTGGGAAATCAATGCTCCATTATTATGGTTGGAGTTTAAATTTGTTTAATTGAAAAGTAAACTTCTGGGGGATTTTTTATCCCTTTAGTAGTTATCGCTAATACAAATTCTGCATGTCATGAAGGTCAGTTACACCACTGTCAATCTGGACTAATTCCACCAAAGTTAATGGAGTTAATCCAGATCTACGGTAGCGTATATCTTCCTTGACTTCAATGGAGTTACTCTGGATTTTCACTCATGTCACTGACCTGTATAATAAGATGTAATCTATTCAGGCAAAACTCACATCTGTTCCAATTGAAGATGCCTAAGGAGTTCAGGATCAGGTCCATAGATAGGGCATGCCTACAGATATTGGCAAAGGTCCTCATTTCATATCACTAATGCCTGTCCAAAAAGGAAACTAAGAAGTGTAGGAAAGCAATGCAGCTCTGAACCTTCATCATATAATGCTCGGGATCAATTATTTTTCCGTAATTTTTCTCCTTCATTTCTCCTGTTTTTCCTGGCATTTCTAATATTTCCACTGCCTGTCACCTGCCAGTTACACTTAAGCATTGGCTATTAAAATGTGACAATAGCAGGCAGTGAATAGGTTTCTCTAGATCGAGTGTAATAAATAAGTGCGAAGAGGCTGGGCAGCGTTAGCCAGAGGCACACTGAATCTGCAGAGCCATTTACATGTAGGTCATGTAGCACTTAAGAAGATTCACATATATCAGAAAGGAATTTGGCTTTAATGAAAAAAGGCTAGAGCTTGTTCTGACCTACAACACGGTAACTAATGACAGGAGTACCTTGACTAATTGCAGGTATTACTTATAATGGGCTATTAATCATCATAAATATTTCTGCTTTCTGAAGGAGGACCTCTCAGGTTAAGCAAGGTTGTGTAGGTCTCTGGCTTTCCTTCTTCCCAACCATCCATTTCATCCTTCTAGTGTCTAGCGACATAAGATGTGAAACATTCATTCTTCAGCTTCCCAAACCTGCGTGTATAATTTAGTAATTAGAAGGCTGGGAGTTACAATTCATTGAAGACCTTTAGTTTGCTAATTGAACTATGAAATATCTTTTTCTGCTGGTTTTCCTGTACCTTTTTAAAAAACTTCCTGTAAGCAGTAAACAATGTGAACTTCCCAGGCTGATTTCAGGGATTTTGGAAATCGGCTTGTCTTTGACAATAAAAATGGAGAGGCTGAGTAAGGGAATCATTCTGTAGGTATTAGCAAGC